TTTATAATATTATTTATTATTCTTAAAGTGTTAATTTGTCCCACTTTCTTCCTTAAATAGATAAATTCCTCTCACTTTATTCTTCACACCCATATTTTAGAACTTGATGCATAACCTGGCAAATCATTAGATGAATGGATGAACTATTCAAAACCGATTTAAAAGGAGAATTGATTTTTTTTTATCTAATCCAAAAGCTCTTGGAAGATTTTTTATTTTTGTTTTTTTTTATTTTTACAGCTATTCAAATCAATTACATGTCCATATTTTTTAGTATTAATTTTCATTTTATTATTTTGATCATATTCGAATTCGTTTCATAAATATTATTTTGATCATATTCAAATTCATTTCATACTCATATGCATATTGTGTAGTATAATTTCTAATTATTATTTTGAAGGTTTTGCAATTTGAATAAGAGTCTAATCGGCCCAAACTCCTACAAATAACAATCTTAGAACGAATATTGAAGTAAATGTCTTTTACAATTATTTGGAGCATCACATTTCTAGAAACTATATATATATATATATATATATATATATATATATATATATATATATATATATATATATATATATATATATATATATATATATATATATATATATATATATATATATATATATATATATATATATATATATATATATATATATATATATATATGCTTTCGTTCAGAGATATTTTTATTTTTTGTATAGATTTTTTTTGTTTAATTTTCTTCCATCTTTCTTCACAATTCTAGAATGGTAGTGATTATGCTTTCTTTCGGATATAAATTCTTATTTTCTTCTTTAATATAAATTCTAATTATTATGTTAAATTTTAGTCATATTTTATACTCATAATTATTTTGATATAGATTATTTATTGTCTCGTAATAAAAATGCACATAAATATACAGATCTTGCAATTTGAAAGTATATCGTCTATTCGAATAACAACCTTAAAATGAAGATTGAAATATAAAAATATAATACACATACCAAAAATATTTAATTTCCATTTAATTGTTATGAAGATTTTCTTTGATTTTATTTCCATCATCTCAATTTCAAAATGTTGTATGATTTAACTATATGAAATAGCGTGACGTTATTTTTTATAAAAAAATATTTTATTCCTTTAGTGCATATAGATAATATTTAACTTTTATTTTAATGGTTATGAAATTGTGTTTTTTATTTTTTTCTGATGGTGACCAATAATTATCTATGAATCTACATTCATATTTAATAATTAATGATTTATTAAAAAAAATTAAAATTCATTTCTCACAATTTAAGATTATTTATTAATTCAAGTTCTAACTATAAAAAAAATTGAAACTCCATTTTAGGATAGTATTAAAATTATCTACCAATCAAAACTTTAACTTTGCAGTTAGTATCATATTTAAAAGAAAAATCAAATTGGATCTCAATTTCTATCTAATTACTAATTATATATCAATCCAAATCCTAACCCTATAATTGATAACCATTAGAAATTTTGAATTATATTTCTTACATATTAGTGATAATAATTATCTAACATTTCAATTTATAACTCAACAACTAATGTAATCTTAAAAATTTTGAATTTTATTTTTCATTATATTTTAGTACAATTGGTATTATATTTTAAATAACAACCATTTAATTATTATTTTAAATAATAATAAACTAAATTAAATTATAAATTAAACCTTAAAATTTTTGTTTTAAATATTATTCATTCATTAAAATCATTAAATTTTTAAGATACAAGCTGATTGATAAAATTTAATATAATTTTTATATTATTTACAATTACATCGATATTTTTTATTACTCTTTAAAATTCAACATAGTCTCAAATATTTTAACAAATTCATATAGAATAATTATTCAAATAATTCACTAGAAAATAATCTTACGAACATAATCAATTGATCATCCATATCATTCTTAAAATTTAATTTTTTTTCAAATATGTGCTTATAAAACTAAATATAATGATGACTCAAATATAATCATTTAAAAAAATACTCAACAAACAAAACAATAATATAAAATTTTGATGAAGTTTAAAATTTCATATACAATTACATTAATATATTATAGATCATCTTTGCAACGCGCATGTTATTATACTCTAATTTTATTATAGATACATAAATTGATGGATTTAGTTATGGATCTCAAAATTCAAATAGGAGAGTGGGAAGTGAAATTGAGAAAAATGGGAGAAAGATATCAAAGAGACCGTCCAAAAGAAATTTTAAAACTGAAAATGAGTTGAAAAATTTATGGTGAGCATCATCTATTCGTGACTAAGAACATTTTTATAAATGCTGAAATTTAAAACAATTTGCTAATTCAAAATGAGTAAAATAGTTCAAATTGGTTTAAATTTAATGAAGATCAACAAATTAGTATTCACTTAAATTCAACTACATCTAATCTATGTCTTTAGTCTTTTGTTGAAACACTAGAAATACTCTCTTATGTCTTTAGCTTTTTTGAGAAATGGACAAATTAAAAACATGCACTTACACTATTTTTAAAGACAGTTTCAATCTATTACTATTATTTTATGTTTATTTATTTACAAGTACAATTGTTTCTCTGTCCTTCATTTCTTCTCCACACTGTAAAGTAAACACTTTCTGCAGAAAAAGAGTGAAAGCTGCATATATGTTTTCAGAGGTTTGATATGCTTAATGTTTTTTCTATGTCTCTTCTCTATGCTTCTTGTTGAGCCTCTTGCATGCAACTCCAACAACTTGATCAGAAACATATAGTATTCATGTCAAACCTATGCATGAGTGTTAAATCAAAATGGTATGTGCATATTTAGTTATTTACCTATATATGGTTTTTAGAGGTTTTATCAATTTTTTACTTAAAAAGATTCATTTTTTCCTCTCTTGATAGTAAAAAATTTCTTGATCTTTCCAACCCTTTTTAGGATTTTGTTTCATTTTCTTTATTCAGATTTTGGGCTGTGGTTTAATCCACTGAAAAAGAAGATATTAGCATGCAATGAAATCTAAGAGAGGAAAAGAGAGAGTTCAAGTTGAAGAGAAAAATATGATGAACAAAATGAGGAAAGTTAGAATTTTGTATAGTGATCCTTATGCTACAGATTATTCAAGTGAAGAAGAAGACATGTTTTTGAGAAATGAGTATCAGTTAGATGGTTCTAAGAGGATTGTGCAGGAAATTTTTGTTCCATTTATGCCCTTAGATTATGAGAATAAGAAGAATGGTTTGGAAGGTTTTTTTCAAACATCTCCATCATCTGTGCTTGATGTCACTGTCACAGCTACAGAACCTGCAAAGGGTATTAATGACATTAATGGTTCAGTCAAAGAAAGTGATGTCAATGAGTTAAGAGGGGATGGAAAAAGAGGAAATGTAGTGAAAGGAGTTTGTGATACAGAAGATAGTTCATTTCTATATTTGTTAGAGGAGGCAAATGTGGCATCTTTGGCTTGTCGTGATCTTCTTTTTTTGGATGAAATGGAAATGTGGCTTGGTGATGGATTTTGTAACTTGTTAGAGAATGAAATTGAATGTGGCTCTATGTGGAAGGTGGAAAATGATGAAGGTAGTAGCATTCTTCCATATATTGATTGTGATTTCAATGATCATGAGTTAGATTGGTTTGATGAAACTCCAAATTGGGATTGCCACTAAAATGTTGTATTTATCTATTCTACAAAGAGTCTGGTGGAATGTCATACATTTGTTCTTCAAATTTGAATTTGTTACCGGACGCATTTTCACATAATCGGCATAGATCGGCCGGTCTAGATTTCAAATTTGACATTTTAGAGATTATAGAAAGATAAAATTTGTCTACGTTTTGTCTAACTCAATTTCAATCCAACAATTATCTATATGCTAATGGCATGAATGAGAAAAGACTTGTTGTGGTATAGTAAAATTGATAACTATAATGACATATCATGTATAATGAGTATAGTTTATTTGTTAAGTACTTGTTTAGTCTCTATTGACATGTTGAGTTTTTCAAATGTAAAATTATAAACATGAGATTTCGAATTTGCTACATATTTCTCTACATAGACATTGTATTTTCCTTTTGTTTTTCACTTTAAAAAGACATTGCACTGTTTTGGCTACTGCTGATGAATGGAAAAGAAAACAAGAATAGAAAATATTAAAGCAGAGGTAAAAGGAAAAGCATGACAAGAACAAGGAAGATATGTCTCGTTCAAACAAACAAAATTAGCTAGTGTTTTCCCCTTTCACGTAAACACGAGAAAGGTAAACTAAGGAAGAATCATTTAAAACATTCTTGTTTATTCCTTTTCCAAGGATGGATGACAAGGACAAGCTGTACAATTGTGTTAATCTCTTGCAATTAGACAATAAACATACGTATTAGCATTAAACATCTTGGCATGAAAATAACCAATTCAGAGTCTATAGGAGTCTGAAACTCATCATTTGTCCCAAGAAAAGTTGAACCGATCAAAGATATTTTTTTTAGAAATTGTGCTCACAAGATAAAGCCATAAGCATTATGTGACTAACCAAGTAACCATTCAAACAAATAGACACCTAAAAAAAAGTTGTTTCCACTATATCAGTAGCTAAACTACAACATATACACATTTCTCCCAAAAACATGGTAGAAACAACTCACATGAATTGATAAATGATTGAAATAACTTATGGAGAATACAATTCTTAGTTCCTACCTAAAGGTACTGCAATTATTGAGAAAACCTTACAGAAGATTAGTGATAATGATACATAATTAGTCTCGGAAACATAGTTATTTTGAATATGTACCAACTTTTCTCTGAACCTCGCAACAGGTTGTTACCTTGCAGATCTGTTGCAACATGTTCATTTTGAATTATCAAGAATAAATTTGAAATTTGATCTCATGATGAAAGAATGAGCAGGGCAAGAACGGGTCTTGAAACAGAAAATGATTGGACTCTCCTCAATTTTCATACTTTTCAATCAGCCTAAGGTTCTGGTTTCATACATACTCTAGGGAAGATCAGAAGAATCAGAACTTTCAGCACTTTTTGCAAAGGCAAATTCACATACAACGGCAAGGTGGTCACTTCCCCAATTCTGCAGGGAACAACAGGATCATGAAAGATATTGATAATACAATACGGAACAAAATACAAATGCGTCGATGCAATTTATGAAACAAAGACCCAGATACGGCCACAACACTGACAATAACACCAACGCGTCAATACGGATAATAATTTGAAAAGAAAAAGAAATTAAATATAACTACCTATCCAGATACACTTTTAATTTAAACTGTTGGTGCTACATAGCATACAAGACCATGTTTTAAGTATTGTACCTCGTTAGGGAGTCCTCTAGTTCTTCTAAGAATATCAATGGGCAAGGTTTCAAGAACTCTGACCGGGATAAGTTCCTCAGAATGCCTGCTTACCACCAACGTCAGTAACGGAAAGTTTGCAAATTCAAACAATTTTTTGGTGTTTGGTATGGAATGATGTAACTACCAGATATAATCAACAGTTCCCATGAACTTAGAGTGGTATGATGTTGCCAAGGGCTCTCCAATATCATCTCTTGTTCTAAGCTTTCCCTGTTACATGACGTGGGAAATATCACCATTGTCTTAATATCCCATAACAAAATTCAAAGGAGTTGCCCATATCATAATTTCAGGGATTAACTTATTATCTTAAGCATAAGAAAATAAAAATTGCAGAAATAGATGATTGTAAATATGTAATTATTATATTGACGTTGGACTAAATTTAGAAATGCAATTGGTAGATTCAAACAACATACAGGAATGCCGCTATAAGCACTGCGGAGCTTGAGCTGGTGCTGAAGTCGAGTGACTCCTTTTGCGCCAGTTGCAAGGATCAGTTCTTCCGCACTCCATTTGTATAGCATTTGCCTTGAAACAGACATTGAAATGCTGCACCAGATATACATACACCCAAGTAATTAATCATAGAATACCAAACATATAACATATGTGAACAAGGATTACAAGGAAAATTAAGATGATGGAAATACTATTATACTATGCAATCAGAGCAATAAAAAAAAGTTTTTTTTTCTTCATGTTAATAAATAATCAGAAGTCTTGATAAATCAGTGCTAATTGCCAATCTTTTTCATGTTTCTAAGGAGGGGGCAGGGAGGTGAAGTTATGTATGTTGTAACTCAAAATAAAAGTTTTTACTCAAAAACAACCTAGCATCATCACCAATCTTTGATCTGAAGTATCTGTGATTGGGCCGGATTTCGAGCTGTCCTGACATATTTCTGCGATCATGTAATTGGACGTCTAACTGCAATAAATAGTGCACTCACTTAATAAATAGTATAAACTTTTTCATGGTCCCTACCCCACCAACAACAAAATTTACTCCTGACTGTGTTGAATGCTTTTTCATTAATGGAATTAAATGCAATAAGGAGGAACAGACTGGAACAAAACTACCTTTACCCTGGTTTGGAAGATTAATAAGGGAAAGGAACAGCACTATATTCCCGTTTATTGCAAAAAAAAACATGGCCGTTTGTTACAAATTACTCCTATAAAAAAAATGATTTTGACATTCAATAATTCAGTTCTTTTTTTTCTTTTTTCTTTTTTTTCAGATTTTAAGAAAAGCAGAATCTATGTTGTCTTTGTTTTATTATAATGAAAATCACATTTTAAAGCAAATCGTCTATTGAAGGCTTTACTACCTATAATCCAAACATTAAAAAAAAATTAGGGAATCCGTTCTCCTTTCCCTTATTCCCTTTTTGTTCCCTTTACTAACTATAATCGAAACACAAATAAACTACTCACTCAAGGTCTGAGATTATGTCCATATACTCAAATTTCTCTCATATGCAGCACAAAAAATAAAGCTTAAAGGCTTCAGAATGTACCATGACGAGGATATGCCAAACTCACCTTTGATGAAGACAGAAATTTATATATTGCACTCTGCCAACATGAGAACAAAAAAATAGAAGCAATGAAGTACAGCACACTTGACAAAAAAATCTTAACATTGATAACCTGCTTAGTACAGATAACCTTACCTGTGGCACACTGTTTAAATCTCCAGCTAAAATAACAGGGATGTTTCCCCATTCTTGTGATAACTTGTAAGCTTTATCAATTAGAAGTCTGACCTATCCATTATGTCATGTGCCAAGTACCAAAATCAATACGATAAATTATTAGACAACTTAACTAATTATATTAATTAACTATAGACAGTCAAATTGTTTGAGTGGGCCAAAATGGTTTGCAGTCTGCACCAACCCCAGCCCAGAAAAGAACATTTAAAACTTAAGGGTCTGTCAGTTTGAGAGAGGGATTTTGGGAGGGGACGACTTGTTTTTCTTTCCTAAATAGAACAAACTATAAAATATTTCTAAAAATAAATGAAGTGTGATTGAATTGTTATATGATCAAATATCATAATATTCTCTTTTTTTTTTTTTTTTTCAAAAATATATAGATCTAGCCCTTTAAAACCCTCCTAAATCCACCTCCCAAACAGACCTTAAGGGAAAAAGTCACAAGCACAAACACAAATGACGACAAGAATAATGCTAACAACACACTATTTTTATAGGTTAAAATTTATACGGGACTCGCATGATTTGGTAGGGCTTGTATAACTAATAAAAGAGTGTTAGAAAGTGTGCTCCTAGCACTTATCATACTTACAAATACAACAATAAGTATAAAGCTACCCAGCTAGTAAAAAATTTAAGAAGTACCTGGCCTAGTTTGATATCACCACGGTTAGGGTTGAACAACACATGTATATTTCCTATTACAAATCTATTCTTTCTGGTAGATTGTTCCCTACAGATTTAGATCAACCTCAGTCACGAAACAGAAAATATTAAAACTACATGGTCATGAAATAGGCATCATGCGTGTGTCAGCATATGTGCATGCATGATCATATTTTATTCTTACGAATATTTTCATTTCCAAACACCTTTGCAGCAAAAGTTTAGCGGTAAAATGAATGCTATCAGAAGAGTAAGAAATTACAGTAAAGATTGGTATGCAATAACTAAATATATATACGCAAGTAACCACTATGGGATACTTGAATATAAACATCCCAAATATTACATGAAAAGATATGTTAAAGACAACAGATAATTTGTGTTCAAATTACCCATTTTAGACAACATAAAACTTACTCTGATAGTTTTGATGTGTCAGATTCTGGACTATCATTGTTTACCTGTAAATAAATGGTGCAATGTAGGGTAATGAGATATAAAACAAAACCTAAGATAATTAGTCTAATACAACAAGAACATGCATATGCATAGTAGTATATAAGAATAGTACTAGGTAAAACAGAATTTAATCAAGGGTAAACAATTTGAATAACAGATCATGAATTTATCTAATAAAAGACAACAGATCAAATATAAAACACGACAAGTAGGAAACATATTAAAATAGTAAAAAACAAGCCTTATGTACCTCCAAAACACAAAGCTGAGCAACATTGTTACGCAGACCAAACTTTTGGAACTCTATATCTTCTTGATACAAAAGACTGAATCTGCATTCAAAGTTTGAAAATATGCTGCATTTAGACCAAATTTGGAACTCTATTTTATCAATTTCTATGTTCTACAATTGGCAAATCTTTGATCCATTGGCATTCCTTAGTATCCATGAATACTTATGTGCTGATTTACTTGTTGTCAAAGGTTACAAATGTAAGATATCAAACAAATGAACATTAGATATAAAAGCCTTATTATCTAATATTTAGAAATGCAAACCTACAATTTGTCTTTCCAAAATATAGCACATCCATCGTTTGCTTCTCCTGTGCGAGCCTAAGAAAATTGGTAATAATAACCCCGGTAAGGAAAATTGATTAATCTTTGGACATTAAAAACATATATGACCATTCAAATGTATATAACTTACCTTGTAAGCACTTTTAAAGCCATTGTTCTGAAAAAGATCATCTAAATCGTCAAAATGATCAACCTCCTGCAGACATAGGATTTATAGAAATTAATTATTGACAATTGAATTCTAAGATGCATGAAATCAATTACGTGCCAACTGGCATTAACATTAGAATACATGCATAATACAAGTAACTACAGATTCCAATCCCTTTTGTTACATGAATACAAGTAACCAAGAGTTGTAGGCTTGTAGCTAAATACAAACAACTATGTTCAACTCTTATTTAAACTTTCAAGGCTCAGTAGAGATGCATAAATGATGAATGTAAAATGGTTGTTAGTTTTTAATAACATAATAATCTGTGCTATGCAGTGTATAACACGAAGAGATTATTAAACTACCTGGAAACAGAGTATACTTGCATTATAGCTGTTAATCTCGTCAAGTATAAGCCTCTTGCGTCTACCCCACTCCAAGAAACGACGCGGGATATTGGAATACAAATCCATATGATTTGATGCATTTTCAACACCAAGTATATTGTATGAAACAACTACAATCGTATCTGCAAGACATGGAAAGGGTTCAAAATTGTAAATACGAGATAACACAATCTGCTCTAATGTCTAAATAACAAACACTCAATCACTAGCTCCAAAATACAGAGAAATCTTTAGCCATCTTTATCACAGACAAATCAACCGCAATTCTATGCAATATTAACAACCTCAACACAACTGCAATTCAAAACCTTACAACAACGTTACTTAGTACCAAAGATTTGTTTCAAAAATAACTATCTACTATCCTCACTCAATTACACTCTAGTATACCAATCACAATCTCACTTTCTCTAACTATTTTTCCTGCTAAAAAACTTTTTTTGATTAAATAATCCATTTTTGTTTCTCGAACTTTACTCTCAAACAGAGAAATCTAACACTAAATGCTTAAAACGAAACCATATTAACTTATACGCAGAACACTTAGATCACATTTGAATGCAAAATTCAGAGTAAAAAAACTCAAAATCAACTAATATTTCAACAAATAGATAGCTTTCTGTGATTCTAACCCGAGCAATCAGAACAGTTTTCGGAGGAGAAAACCCATTTCCTAGAAGAGGAAGATACTCCGTGATTAGAGGCCGAAATCTCGAACATAGAGTGTCTCCTACGCTTTGAAGGATAATCATCGCTTGAAATCGCCGGTGGAAGACTTTCCCGTTTGCGACGCCCCATATTACCGGCCGGAGTAGAGAACGACGGCGGCGCGTGTGATAAATTAGGGTTAGAGTACTTGCTACGGGTGCTGGCTATTTTCTAAAATAAATAATGAATAATATTTTTTGTACTTAGTAATATCGAAAAAATATTAATTTAAAAGATATTAAATTGTCGTTTTTTAGGTTAGTTTTGAATTGGGTAGATATTGTGCACAATTATCCATAAATTTAGAGTCATTTCAAAATATATATATATATATATATATATATATATATATATATATATATATATATATATATATATATATATAATGAGATTGAATATATACATTTATATAATTATTAATTTAAATGTTAATGTTAGTTCATTAAATCATTAATATTATAGCATATCCAAAAAATTTAGAACATGATGCTATTTTTTTAATAATTTAAGAAAATACTAAGGAGTGCCCTGTTAAAAATTTAAAATTTTTTTTAATAATTTAAGAAAATACTAAGGAGTGCCCTGTTAAAAATTTAAAATTTAAAGTTTAATGGTTTAAACTTCATCTTTTAAAATTAAATTAGATGAATAATGCAAATTTAACACCGCATCATTAAACAATATAACTTTATACAATTAAGTTAGTTTATCGATATAAAATACATTTAAAAATTTATATAAAAACTTATCAATGTGGACTTAGTATTTCAAAAATAAATTATTAAAAATAGTTTGAACACAATATTTTTACTTTTAAATTCTTAACATGTGTCATTAAATACAAATTAATATTTTCTTAAAAATAATATAATAAAAGCTTATTATAATAACTTAATAGAAAAATCTAAAAATTCAAATAAATTTTAATAGAAAAAATGGATGCTGATAGAAACATATATTACTAAAACAAATAGATGTCAAAATAATAGATCTAAACATCTCAATAATCATAATGAAACACATCTCACAAATAAGTTTTTAAATATCTCAAAAACATTAAAATTTATAATAAATACATCTTAATTTTTTAATATATTGAATTATAATTTTTATATCATAGCACTATTCACTAATGAGTTGATTGTTACATAGGCAATATCTTATTATAGTGTTTAGTATATGTGACCATAACATTGACACCATGCATGTCTCGTGTATTGCTATCTATGACTATAATCTTCATATACGTAGTATAATGATAAATGATTTTGTGAACGACCTATTAATACTTCTAATACTCTCCAACAACCGACAAATGTGAAGGTTTTGAGGTTGGTTCTAAGATTTTAGAATACAAACATGTCAAGGGATTATGTAAGGATATTTACATGTTGCAAAGTCTTCGATACATACTGGATCTTTATTCTTTTAGACCTATTAGTGCTTCTAATACTTTCCAACAACCAACAAATGTGAGGACTTTGAGCTTGATTCTAAAGTCTTAGAATGCAATCATGTCAAGAGATTACATAAGGATGTTCGCATTTGCAAAGTGTTTGGTACATATCGTATCTTTATTCTCTTAGACCTACTAGTACTTCTAATACTTTCCAACAACCGACAAATGTGAAGGCTTTGAGGTTGGTTCTAAGGTTTTAGAATACAAACATGTCAAGGGATTATGTAAGGATATTTACGGGTTGCAAAGTCTTCGATACGTACCGGATCTTTATTCTCTTAGACCTACTAGTGCTTCTAATACTTTCCAACAACCAACAAATGTGAGGACTTTGAACTTGATTCTAAGGTCTTAGAATGCAATCATGTCAAGAGATTACATAAGGATGTTCACATTTGCAAAGTGTTTGGTACATATCAGATCTTTATTCTCTTAGACCTACTAGTACTTCTAATACTCTCCAACAACCGACAAATGTGAGGACTTTGAGCTTGGTTCTAAGGTCTTAGAATGCAAACGTGTCAAGGAATTACGTAAGGATGTTCACAGGTTGCAAAGTGTTCGGTACATATCGGATCTTTATTCTCTTAAAGATAATATGTAACACTCCAACTTTAAATTAATATTTTATTTTATTTTTGAAATGTTTATATGTGTGTGGTTTGATTTATTTAAATTATTTTAGATTATTTGTGTTATTTTTGTGTTTATGAAATTTAGAAGTATTTTAATAATTTAATAATTACTAAAAATATAGAGTTTAAGAGCGAAAAAATGAAATAGAATTTATTTAAATTATTAGAGATAAATAGATAATTTTAATTATTTATTAACAGTTTGAATAATTAAAATTATTTGAAATAATTCATAATATTATAAATTTTCATTAAATATTTATTTAAGTGCAATCTTTATTTAAATCAAATAAAAGTTTTACATTTATTTGAAAAATATAATTTGATGGAATAAAAATAAAACACGAGATTTTATGTTATAAATAAACAGAATAGAGGGGGTGTGAGTGAGGGAGGTGTGGAACCCAGTTGTGATATTTTAGGATAATATAAATTCTAACGTTAGGAACGGAGTAGGGTACGAGAAAAAAAATAGAAATTTGGGAAGCGATCGATCGTGAAGATTTGCAATACGTAGAGCTTTGGAGCGATCGTAGGAACGTGAATAATTTGTTAGAAAGCTTCAATTTCGAGATAAGGGGGATTACTTTGCTTATGAATGATAATTAGTCGGTCAAGATGGCGAAAGGTCTTTATCATCCCATAAGCGTCATGGGTGATATCTGTACTTTCTTCAATTTCCTGTAATTTCTGTAATATGTTTAGTCAAATGGGATTTGGACAAAACTCCATTGGCATCAATCAAATAATAATTTTGTTTATATGTGTTATTGTGGTGACCAAGTGAGATTTAGGATAAATCTTTTATGGTCATCGTAAGATGGTTTGTTATTGATGATAATATATCTTATTGTAATGTATTGTTATGAGATGCGTTGATATGAGTTTTGTGTATTTCTATGATGAAATTGATTACTTTTATGAGTAGATTGTGAAGTTATGATATTTTAGTACTATGTTTTGTATATGTGATTTTGGTCATTTTTCCCATTTTCTATAAAACTGTGTGTTATGTGATTTTTCCCAAATCATTCCAAAAAGTCATAAAAATTTATTTTTTTGAAAAAACTGGTATTTTCGTAGTAAATAAAAAAATTGGATTTTTTTAGGAGGGACTGTACAATGAAGTTGCGGCGGTTGGGCAGCGCAATGGAGCCGCGGTGGTTGGGCACGCCGCTGAGGCGGCGTTCGCGAGATCGCTGAGTGGTGAGCGCGCAGAAATAGAGTCGCACCAATGGCGGAGCCGCGTTGGCGGCGACTGATTTCCAAGAGGTCCACGCGGTGGCGGAGCCTTACGACGATGGGTCGACAGCGACTGCGGTTCGATCGCAAGTCGGTGGCGGCGGCGGTTCAAAGCGTTTTTTGGCAATTTCAAGTTCGTGTAGTTTTTCGTTGATTTTTTAGCAATTTTTGACATCAGTGATTTTTTTTTTACCTTTTAGTCAACTTGGAGTAAATTGAGTTAAGTTGCCAGCCCTTAGGATTAACATAGTCACTTGTAAAATTTGGTAGTGGGACATTTTCGAGTACTTTGAACACTCAAGGGTTCTTACACATAGAAACTATCTCTTAGTTATTATTTTATTCTTTATTTAAGGATTAATTATTTTCTGAAAGAATTCTCATAATAATTAGGGATTATTGTTATTGACTTTATATATAAATAGGGAGACATTTTTTATTCTATAATTAATTCATTATAAAATTTTCCATTATGTGTAATACAGAGTATTGCTTGATATGCTATCAGAGATAACAATATCTCTGTTACTTTTTCTCTTCCTTTATACGTGTGTCATCTCTTTTCTTCTCCCTTCCACGTGTGATACCTGCATAACCTCTATCTTTAAAGCTTACTTGATCATCTTTCCTGGACACGTGGCTAATATCTCTTGCGCCAAATCTAGATTTTTCTATTTCTTCCTGAATACTGAGATAAGTAAAACCATTTTTCCTCTGTTTTCTCTCTTTACCCTTTCCATTCTCTCTGCATTGCTTTCTCTTTTCCTAGATTCTTAAAGATTTCCATTATTCTTACAAGAATCTTCCTTCGCCCTTCATCCTTTTACCATAAAAATATCACCATCATACCTTCATCCCTCACCAACCCAGTTCTTGCTTCATCTTCACCATCGATCCTCTCTGTTTTCATCTTCTTCAACCTTAATTCCCAAATCATTTCCATGGTCGATCAAACTTACGATGATTTTGCTACCAACCATTTCAACCCCTATTATATTCATCCTAACAAAAACCCTACCTTAATCCTCGTTTCTTCACCCTTAGACAACAAGAATTACCTATCTTTGGCCCGATCCATGAAGGTGGCCCTAATCTCCAAGAATAAACTCTATTTTATCGATGTCTCTTTTCAGTAACCCGCCACTAACAGTAACCTTCATGACCCATGGCTTCGATGCAACAATCTTGCTCTATCTTAGATTCAATGTTCAGTTTCAAAAGACATTGCACAATTAATTTTGTGGTTCGAAAATGCTTTAACTGTCTGGGGTAATCTGTGGAATAAATTTTCTTAAGGTGACATATTTTGTCTCTTTGATCTCCAAGACGATCCTGTCTGTCTTCAACAAGGATCCCTTGATGTCTCCACTTATTTCACCCAACTTACTTCAATTTGGGAACAAATTGACACCTATCGACCAACCAGAGATAGCACCTGCCCCATTCCCTGCACTTGCGGCACCGTCACTGACCTTAAAAAATTATGCGAGCAAGACAAGGTTATTAAATTTTTGAAGGGACTCAATGAGAAATTTTCCATTGTTTGAGCTCATATTATGATTATTAGACCTTTACCTAATCTTGACAAAATGTTCTCTCTCGTCCTTGGCCAAGAAAAATAACTTACCACACTCCCCCTTCCTAACTCATGCAGGAAATCAAACCCTAGCCTCTAAAATTCAACCTCAAAATGGCATTGGTCTTGGCTTTCAACCACCCACTTCCCGAGGCTTAGGTCGCTCCCAACCATATGG